CTCCACGGGCCAATGCTGACCAACCCCTGGGAATACAGGCCGTCTAAAGCATCTCTTCGGGGCCGCAATGCTACAATGCCTTTTTCTAACACGACCAGTTGTCGCCCCTGAAGGTGGTCGGTGCTGTCAGGGAGAGGGTGATTTGCCCCCCAGGACTGAAGCCACAAAGGAAGCAAGTTGGCCCAAGCTGCTCGGTCCTGCGCCTGCCACTCCCAGTGGCACATATCGGTGGGATGTCTAAATTGTTCATATCGAAGACGCATCTTATGGAACCCTGTCTCGGACAGCCACGAGGGTCGCAGTCCCCCTGTGGACAATGTGTGCCCGCTCAGGCGGTGTAGCATGCCACGGAGAGGTGTATCCTCCTTACTACGAGCCAAGTGACCGAAGTAGGTCCACACCCTAGTAAGCCAAGCGACTTTCCACTGGGGACCTTGGAACCTCTGACAGTACAGGGCCAGTGCACGCCTGCAGCCTTGCACGTTTTCAACCCAGGTACTGAAGGGATCCCTGGAGAATCGGAAGACTCCCAGCAGCAGAGAATGCTTTAAACCTTCCACGGCCCGCAAGGAGCGGACGGTCGGCCAGACCACCGAGGCACACCAAAGCCATTTCGAGCTGATGTACGAGTCAAAGAGCTGTGACTTAATGCGGTGTGGTGTGCTGGCGCGATCCAATAGCTTTTTCATCGCAAAGTAGGAATTAGTCATTTTACGGAGGGGATGTGCCAGAACCAACTCTGGCGTGTTGACATGAGACAATGGAACCCCCAGAAAGACAACCCGGTCTTGCCCCTTGAGGGGAAAGCATGTGCCCCTTGGCCACACTCCAGGAGTAGCCCCTGCTATGTTGAGAACACTGCACTTCTTCGGGTTGACAAACAGCCCTATGGTTGCTAGTGTATCGGTCAAGTCCCGGAGCTTCGTCTGCAATTCCGCAGCACTCATTGCAAACAGCATCACATCATCGGCATAAAGGAGAAAGTGCGGGAGGTCGATGCAGTCCTGCCAACGAGGGTACTGCCCCGTCCATCGTCCCTGGAGGCCTCGCAAGTGGAAGTCAATGGTCCTGGAGAAAAGATCCGCAGAATAACTACTCCCCTGCATGATCCCCTGTTCTACCGCAACATTCCACGACTGCGTGCCTAGGGACATACGGAGCTTGTTATCCGAGCACAATCGCCAAAGCAGGACCGCTTCGGGACACGGTTCGCAGTGCAGCAAGTATTTGAGAACCGAAGCATGTGAGAGACTGTCGAACGCCGCCCGGATGTCCAGCTTCGCAACATGAGCCTCCACTTGGTGTTTCCGACGCAACACCCCGATAATGGTCTGTGCTGCCAAGATACCATCAACAGTCTGAGTACGGGGGCGGCACCCCATCTGCCCGCTACAATAAGCGGGGCACTTGGCAGCGACTCGTGTCATAACCAATCGCCCAAAAATCTTAGATAGGCACGGCGAGAGGCAGATAGGGCGCAGGTCAGCGGGCGACTCGGGCTTCGGGGTCTTCGGGAGCAACACAACTTTGGCCTCGTGCCAGCTTTCAGGGAGTTGGATCTGTCGAAACAACAAGCGGTTCATGAAGGCCAGCAGTTTATGTTGCTTGTCAACCCTGTGATAGGTTCTGATGGCCTCATAGCAGACCCCATCTAGTCCCGAGCTGGTATGCGTTTTGCACCTTGCCACAGCTGCATCAAGCTCCTCCGCTGAAAATGGGCGTGGTCTGACAGACATGTGGGTGGAAACGAACATCTCGAGAGATTCCTGGGTAGGGGGAGGCAGCAGGGACGTATACTTGGTTTCGTAGAAGGACTTCAGCTCCGCTGCAGCATTGTCCTGACCCCCTCGTCCTTCGATATAGCTGATTTCGAAGGACGCGTGCGCCGCGCTTTTACGGAGGTAAGAAATAGCTTGCCTATCCCCTTCCCGAGCCCGTTGCAGGATGGACATCTGATGCTGGGTGCGGTCTTCGGTCCTGCGGTCTCGGATCTCCTTCAGAAGTGCAGCGCGTTTAACAGGGTCTGCCGTGCGCCTGCGCTGCTCTATTTGGGCTTTAAGTTCGGGAGAGTCCTGGTACCTAAGGGAAGGAACACGCTTAGCCGACTCACACAGTTGACTGAGTGTTTCGGGCGAAAAAGGCTCTTCCCCCTGGGCGTACTTTTCCAGCTCATGCTGGTCAGTAATCCATCTGCCGCACCTCGTGGTAGGCCTTCTGCCTCGAAACAACAGCGGACTAGGAGTGTGAACCTGACAGAATACCGGCGAGTGATCCGACGGGAGGGCTGTGCGCATGTCGTCCCTTTTGTGTGCTGTTAGTCTGCCGCGGGGAACCCTAAGCATGATGGCATCGATTTCACTGGACACCCCTCGGGCAGACCACGTTGGCCCCAATGGCCTGTGTAACTCAAGGGAAAACTTCTGGGCCACAGAACGGAGCAATCCCATCCCCACAGAGGAATCCGAAGACGCGTGCAAGTCCTGATTGAAATCGCCTCCCACAACCAGGGAGTCCTGAGAAGGCACACCTTGAAGGCATGCATCCAAGGCCTCCAATGATGACGTCCATACCTCCTCCGCCCCAGATCTCGGTCTCAATTCCGTGCAGGCGCGCTTGCTGTGTGGCAGATGCAGACATGCGATACTAATTCCCGAATTCCCGGCCTTACCATGCAGAAAAAGCCCAACGGGCAAGCCAACCTTCTGGACAGCATGAAAATGAAGACTACTTTGTACTAGAATCGCTTGGGAGAGATGGGCCTCCGTAGAGGAACAAAGGTAGAGCTTATATGACAGTCCTCCAAGTACATAGTCGGAGACAGACACCTCAGGTGTGGCTCCCTGGCATGACCCGATTTCCTGGAGAAGGAGAATTTCCGGATGTCGCACATTCGAACCCCACAAATCCGAAAGATCCCCTAACCCCTTTCCATGCAAATTCCACGTGCAAACTGTGAATTCGGATGTGCCCATCTGACCTATCTGGCTCACGCGCTTCCTCCGGCCCGACCCCTAGGAGCCCGGAGCGACCTGGAAGTGCCTGTGGAGGACCTCCTCGGTGGTGTTCAAGGTTCGCGCGAGGAGGGGTCCCGGGACCCACCACCCCGTCTCGGATCCTCTTGCATCCAGCAAAAGAAGGGCCCCATCTGTGGGGCGCTTCTGATCCACATGTGCCAGTACACTAATGGAATTCGCCCAGAAGCGACCCCGCCAGTCGAACTCATAATCCCGGGGTCCCAGAAACTGCGAAACCAGATTCTTTAGGGACACAATAGCCCGAATGCGTGCTCTCTCCTCTGGACTACGATTTCGCTTAGCCCACAGGGCACCCTGTGGCTGACCTGAAATAGAACTGGACAGTGCGGCTTCACGCAAAGCATCGACACACATTGACTGTAGTTTACGTCTGTCCGACAACGTCTCTTGCATGTACAACAGGTCGACGCGACATGTGTTAGAACGAACCGAGCTACAGTACATGGCCTTAAGGAGGGGACCGCACTTAGCCCTTTCAAACCACGCAGTGACCTCAGCTTCAATGTCATCACGGCGGGCCTCCTTCCAGCCTCCCAGGACAATCTGCCAGTCGTCGTGCACTGTTCCCATGCGGTCGCCTCGCGGGCTGACAGAGCGGCCACTTGCCGCCGAAGCTAGGCTGGGCGACCGGGATCGATAGTCCTGCAGCTCCTGCTCGAGAGCGGCCAGGCGTGCTTCAAGCCCCGAAGTACGCTCGAGTTGAGCATCCTGCCTCGACTCTAGAGACTGGACCTTATCTGCGATAGACCTCAATGCCTGGTTGTTCTGTTGAAGGGCTTGGAGCTGATCCTGCTGACCCTGATCAATCCTAGCAATCCCCTGTTGGAGAGTAAGGGCCCACGGAGGGGGCACATCCTCGCCCATATGGTAGACCTCTGGCAACGGGCGCTTCGGCTTGTCGGAGAAGGGTTGTCCTCCCCCGGCCCCGAAGATAGGGGGCTGCTGGAGTCCCGGTGGACGATTTGCAGGTTCAGTAAGCTTAGGCTTCTTTTCCGGGCTAGCAGCGGGTTTACGAGCAGGTCTTTGTTTGGCCAGAAGAAGTGCTGCTGTGGCTTCAGCCGCCGCTTGTTGCTGGGCGTCAGAATTCAACCCCGTCGTAGCCCCCGGCCCAGGGCCATCCCCCTCGGGCACCCCCCCCCCAGGCGCATTCCCCCCCATAGCTGCCATGAGAGCTTCGTGTGCCGCAGCCCGCATCGCGGGATCCGAACCGCCAAGTAAACCCCCCCCACTGACGGGCGTGAGGGGATCCGCGGGGGCATCAGTTTCCATGTGGGCACGCCCCCCCTCAACCCCAGGCAGCAAGACAGTGCTGGCGTTCGAGTCTGCCTCGGTCATAAAGACGAACGAAACGACGACGAGGGGAGAGACTGGCAGCGAAACAAGGCGAGGCCTCAGAAGAAGCAGGAGAGCGGAGGGGCCTCACTCGCGCGAGGGACCCGGCCAGCTGATCGGCACTTGAGCCAAAATGGCTTGAGCCAAAATGGCTACCTCAGGGAGGGTTTAGGGTTTAGGGTTTAGGGCTCAGGGAGTTGGGGTTTAGGGTTTGGGCTCTGCTTTGTGCTGGGCTTGGGGTACAGTGGTAATGATTTGCAACTGAGTTAGAGTTGTGAGGGCGCGAGTCCAGAAGCCACAAGCAGCTTTTCACGCAGTGCTTTGCTTCCACTCAGGTGCATCTTGAAGAGCAAAATCTGGCACATCAACTTCAAAAACCCGAAACACCAAACCCGAAACCCTAAACCGCACTCCAGAAACGGCCCACACACACACACACACAACTCGCAAAGCTGAAGCAGCCTCCCTTCAAACCGTACAAGCCGGCCCAAAGAAAGGCAACAACAACAACAAGGGTTTAGGCATACTGCATACTAGGTTAAGGGTTTAGGATTCATAGGGCTCATTTTTTCCCTCCTACCTTTCATAGGGCTCATAGCGTTTAGGGTTTAAGCTTCCCACGAAAGGCCGGTCCCCGCGCAAGGCGCGGCGACCTGTCACGCCGACACCCTCGAAGCGCTCCTCGATCCTCAGCACGGCGCTTCACTCTTGCAAATCCTTGACCCTTGAACCCGTAGACCAAACCCCGCAACCCCTAAAGATATATGCATATATATACACACACACACATATATATATATATATATATATATATGTATACATGTAGCCCAGGAAGCATTGTCCGCAGCTGGTCCAGGGGCTGATTCCCGAGCACCGCCAGCGTCATGTCCTAAAGCGGCCATTAACCCTGGGTACACCCGGTATAGTAGTGTTTTTGGGGGCCGCCCCCCCAGGATACATTAATTCTCTGGTTCTCCTTAAAGGGAATGCAATGTATCCGGGGGGGCCCGAGCGACGCTCGTCGTTTTCGGGGTTGGTAGACTTCTACAACAACTCATCTGGATGGCACGTGCTTTTTTCACCTCCACTTCGGGAATGCTGCGGTCGTCAGCGAGGTTACCCTGGCGCCGTTTTCCCCCGGCCTCCCCGGTAATCCTTTAAGGGGGCAACAACGCATCACCTCGTCACCCATCTCTCTCTCTCTCTCTCTCTCTCTCTCTCTCTCTCTCGGGAACTGACATGACTGCAATCAATGCGAAAGCCCTCCGCTGACAACCGCATGACCTCCGCTTCTAGAGCTCTCTCCTTCTCTCAAGCCTCTCCGCTTCTAGAGCTCTCTCCTTCTCTAGAGCCTCTCCTTCTCTCAAGCCTCTCCGCTTCTAGAGCTCTCTCCTTCTCTCAAGCCTCTCCGCTTCTAGAGCTCTCTCCTTCTCTAGAGCCTCTCCGCTTCTAGAGCTCTCTCCTTCTCTAAAGCGTCTCCTTCTCTAAAGCGTCTTCCCTTCTAGAGCTCTCTTCTTCTCTAAAGCCTCTCCGCTTCTAGAGCTCTCTCCTTCTCTAAAGCGTCTTCCCTTCTAGAGCTCTCTTCCTCTCTAAAGCCTCTCCGCTTCTAGAGCTCTCTCCTTCTCTAAAGCCTCTCCTTCTCTAAAGCGTCTTCCCTTCTAGAGCTCTCTTCTTCTCCAGAGCCTCTTCTTCTCTAAAGCCTCTCCGCTTCTAGAGCTCGCTCCTTCTCTAGAGCCTCTCCGCTTCTAGAGCCCACAACCATGAATACGAAACGAACGCAAACAAGACTCCACCCTCCAACACCAAAGTGCCTATACACCCACACATGGACCCCCCCCAAGGATGCATTCCCAAGCCCCCCAATGTATTTATTTTACCCGCGGGCCCCCTGATTACATTCGTTAGGGAGGGGTCTCCCTGGGTACTGCCCCCATACAGTAACCGTCTACAATAGGGCTACTATCAAGGGCCTAATATAGCTACATTATAGAGATTATTCAACTGTTATATACTGGGTGGGAGCAGTACCCAGCATTAACCCGTTTGCACCTGGATCGATGCATGCCCTTAACAATATTGAAGCCTGAACTAGGCTCATTCAGCACTCGAAGAATTCTGAACACACACCTGGTTCTATGCATGCCCCCAACCATAAACCTCGAACCCTGAACTAGGCCCTAGGCTCATTCAACACTCCTAGATTCCAACTTCTGAACACCCGTTGTCCGAGAGGACCTATTCATGACTTGTGAACCGACGCCGAAACTCCGAAATCACAGCTTCAGCCCCGGACCTGATCCAGCCCCAATCCCTAACCCCATGACCAGAAAAGCACCGGACCGCCAAAAAAAAGTTGCAGAATCCTCGGCGGTGTAGTGCTCCTTGTAGAAGCCTCTTGCACCAAAGATGGCTACTCCTACTCCTACGACTGCTCCTCCACCGACTCCTACGACTACCATTGTCGCAAGTAAGACTACAACTACAATTGTAAAGACAACTACGGCTGCACGAGATGCAAGAAACCCCGAAGCCCGGCCCATAAGCCCCCAACCTTGAAACGCTGCCCTTAGCTGGTTTAGTCCTCGAAAGCCAAGGGCACACTGAAAACCAGAAGCTTCCGAGGCGCGGATGACCTCCGAGTGCAGCTCCACTCCACGGGCTTTCGGATCATCGCGAAGAGACTTGGCCTTGGTTTTGGGTTTTTTCCCTCGTACTTCGCAAGGACGAGCTCGCATGGCAGGGCCGATGGTCGACGTACATGCTAGAATCCCTCGTAGGTGATTTTGCATCCTGCCTTGTACCTTTAAGATTAAGAATAAAGAGTTTAGGGTTGAAGGTGGGGGGGGCTCGGCTTGTATTTTGGAGAGAGAGATCCAGGTTTGCGCCGGGAGGGTCCGGATAACTGATGCTGTAGTCGTAAACTCGCCCAGGTACATATCGGATTGCTGTAAGGGTTGCCATGACAAACCCCGGTGCCTAATGAAGTAGTGGGTCTTTTGGACCCTTGGGCCAGTTATTATAGATCTAGAGATATAGATTAACAGACCCTGGACCGGGAGCCAGTTCCATATGGTAAACCATCAACTGTTGCAAGGCAAGTGCCAGCTGGAACCACACTCTGCGGTGGCTGCATGGCCGCGAGGACTGCGCAGGTGCAACTAGCCGTTCGAAAACCAAGGCCTCTGAGCACTGCTGCACTTGATCAGGGCTCTTCCTGCAAACGTCCAAGCAGCATTCCCAGATCCCCAATGCAGAGGATGATTTGGATTTGCATCTAACCTAAGCTGGAGGCATAGGTAAAAAAAACCTCCGTACACAACTTACAAAATAATACATAAATACCAAAACTACGCAAATAGATATGCAAACCATTTACATACATACATACATGTTTAGCACTTGCTCTCGGCAAAGCGGGCGAGGTGTTTGGGTGAACACAACATTTCCTGAGAGAGACAGGCGCATTAGCCATACATACATACATACTTACTTACATACACATACATACACATACATACACACATACATACACACATACATACATACATGCATGCATACATACACAAACACATACATACATCATTACATACCATGCGTAATTACATACATACATACATATCTAGATACGCATACACCCATGCATACACACATACACGTACACGTAAACATACACATACACTTGCACAGTACGCATATATACATACATATGTATGTGTATGTGTGTATGTGCGTATATTTGTGTATACGTGCGTATGTGTGTATGTGCCTCTCTGTGTGTGTATGTGTGTACGTGTGCATGCAATGTCTGCATGTATGTTTGTATGTTTGCTCGTTTGTATGCATGTATTGCGTATGTACGTCTGTAACCGTATGTACGTGTGCACAAATGTCTGGCAACGCATGTCGCCGTATGTCAGTGTTTGGAATGTATGTCAATTAGTATGTCAATGTGTGTATATCTGTCTGCATGTATGTACAGGGCTATCCTAGAATATGGCCCGAAACGATATTGCACAATTCAGGCTTGAATTTCAATCTAAATCAACCAGATATCGCTGCTTCGGCAAGAGATCCTTCGTATGAAAGGCACAGCCCATTAAACCTCTAAAGGCATCACCCAGTACTTCCAGGCCAAGCTGCAGCAGCGAAGCATACGACCTCCTGCCATCGTCTGAGATTCGCATGGAATGCTCGCTGTCCACGGCCTCATGCAGTGACAAAGCTTCCTGAATCCTGGACCTAAGCGTCCGAGTCGGAATTCCGTCTCGTGGCTACGAGGCTTGCCTCTTGATCTCTGATTGATTCGAGGACGCGTGTTCCTTTCGGGGTGTTCGTCATTGCCCCCGGGGACTTCCTCCTGAACTCCAAACTCTTTCTTGCAGCCGGGCTCAAGCTCTAAACCCTATAGGCCCTCAATCCCGAACCCTGGGTACGAGAAGTGTGTGCAGTCGCTGTGCTGCTCTTGCAAAGGAGAGCCTTCAAAGGGTGAAGAGATTCTTCCCTAAATCCTATGAACAGCAGATCGTCGCCAAACCCCGAAACCCCGGAAATCCTTAAACATCCGAATAAACCCGAGTGGCTGGCTTTCCGCCCGGCACAGACACACCTAAGCTCCTCACCAGACCCTCAAAACAAAGGCCCCGAAACTAAACCCTAAAGCCCCCAAACCTCAGATCCTAACCAACACTACTGCTCCGGGTCCCTGGCATTGATCTCCCTCTCCGTGGCAGACTTCGTAAAGAGCGGTGTCAGGAAAAACTGAGAGAAGCGATCCATGGCCCCCTCCTTAGCTTGGGGACGGGATCTGCGGCTTAGGGTTGAGGGTGGGTTTTGGGTTGAGAGTGGGCTGGATTGATTCAACCTTCCTGGGAGGCAATTAGAAGGCTCTTGCCTCCTTCGTTGCAAGGTCAGGGCTTGGAGGGTTTGGATTCATGGATGTAAGCTCACTCCGAACGTCTACGGATAGGCCGCATCTAGAAAAACGTAGTCTGGAAACTGAGTTCTCTCCGAAGCCCTCAACATCCCCAAATCCTCTACCCCACCACAATCGACGGCCAAGCTTCCAGAAAGGCAGGTGAAACGTCAAACTGGTAGCAGGTCTTGTCATCGCCGGTGGAGGCATTGCACTTGCCTCCATGCCTCATTGCGGTGCGAAGACATCGATACCCAATCTTGGGGTGTTTATGCACATTCTGACAGACATGCATCTGCATACATGTAACATGCGTATACGCACGTCCAGCCATGCACCTCTGCCTTTCTCTGTCGTTATTAGTTCCTTGCGTTTCTCTGCCAATAGAAGTATATGTGTATTCATGTTATGCAGGATTTTACAGGAGGAAATGGCGAATGCTTTCCAACCTCGCCTCACTAAGAGTCATCGTCTACATTTGCGGCAAAGGGAGAGGGTGGGTCCGAAAACTGACTCCAACAGTAAGCTGGGGAGAACAATCGTGAACACAGGAGCGCAGTAAAAAGAAAGAAACATGGCTCTTCAAAAGACGAATAGCAAATACAACACATACAATAACACGGACCTGAAAAATCTACCAACACGGCAGGACGGACATGTGAGGATGATCCAACCCTACCCGCCCTACCCCATACCACAAACCGGGCGATGAAACGAACCCCAGCCTTTCTCTGACCAATAAATCCTGTAGCCCATCTATAGCCAGCATAGAAAACTTTCTAGAAACCAAAGCCCTCCGTTAAGACTTAACAACCTGAAGAAGCCCTTATCAAATCCGAACCCTCGCAAACACCGAAATCATGAGACAGGTTCGAACAAGCTGAAATACATGCCATAACACCAACTGTCTGGTTCTTAGTAGGGAATGGGGGAATGGATCGCTTTAGTAGTCCCTATATACTCCCCAAGAATAGTCTCTAGCAGTCCCTATATAATCCCCAAGAATAGTCCCTATAATCCATTCCCCCATTCCCTACTAAGAACCAGACAGCCTACTACGAACCCTAAGCCCCTATAGTATAACCGTATAACCCTTATAGTAACCCTTAAAGGAACCCTATTCCCTACTACAGTAAGAACCAGAAGGGGTCCGGGTCGCTGCTTCACAAAGCGCTTATATTCGCCTTCCTCTGGAAACTTCTCCGTTCCCAGGAAGAGCCTCGCACATCGCAGTTCGGAGGACTTCACAAGAGCTGCATGCAGATTTCTAGGAAGGGGTTTCATACGGGTTCTACAGGCTTTGTCGGGTGTCACACTGCTGTTACGAATCAGACTCGCTTGCTGTTGCTATTCGGTTTGTATTTGGCACTTTTCCTACTGAGATAAGGAACCTTGGTACCTAAAAGAGTTCTCGGGACCATGTGCCCTGGGGCGCACGTGCCTGCATAGCATAGGGCATAGGATTTTGGGATCTACTTGGGCTGTAGAGAGGTTTCTACATGAACAGCACACGAAAGGCCAACGGGCACTTCTATAGAGGCCCGAAGCCCTACAGGTCCACGGACCCTGAGCGCTTCCAACACAAGAATGAAGCAAATGCGCGCAAGAAGGTCCCACAAGGCTCTATCTGGATCCGAAAAGCACGTAGCACAAAAGCCCTTTGTAGGTTTTGGGTCATTGCTTTGCCTACCTTTAGGGCTTCAAGCACAATCAATAGGCAGGTAGTTCTGTGGGTAGGGGAGGTGAGCATTTTCGCTTCCGGTCTCAGGGGTCTAGGTGTCGCAGGGTTTTGGGTGTAGGGTTAGGATTCAGGACTGCAGGTTTCGTGGCTGAGGCGGGACCATGCCAGAGGCTGTCTTTGAATGAAGCCCAATACCCAACACCTCCAAATTCCAAGAAAAACTCGGTAGCAGCCCGGCTCAGGGCATGTTGAAGCAAGGAGCATATGCTCACAGAAGTGCGCCAAACCCGGCATGTCTTTTGGTTCGTGCAGTCGCCCCACGCCGACGCACCTCAAACTGATCACTTCAGCTAAGGTCTCGAGTATAGGGCCGGAGGGTCTGATGCGTCGTGGGGTCATGAAGGGTCTTGCAATCTCAGCAACCTGTAAACTGGGACGGAATTCCGATGTTTGGTCAAGCTGGGTAATCGCCTCCAGCACTTCGGGTGCAATCTCGGGTTGCTGGAGTCTCCTGGAGGTGCCGATCCCTCATGGCCGCTAAAGTCTCTCGGAAAGATACAGGTAGTTCTCTAAAATAGGGCCCCTTTTAGGTGCCCAATGTAGTACGGGCACCCTTATAATTAAAGGACCCCCGCAGGGACCCTAATTTAGACAGCTACCCATAACACGACCAGCGCAAGGTTTCATGAGCCTTATCAGCTTTTGAGTCGTGACCGGGACTATTTTCACATCATAACGGTGCCTCTGCCGATGCAGCTGCTGATGGCGATTGTGAGCATGGCAATGCTTCGGGTGATGACCATGATGTTGCAAAAATGAAGGTCAACAACAAAAACACATGACTCTGATGACAATGAGGAAGTTTAAACAAGAAGGAGAATAAGAAGCAGATGATGGTCAGTGGCACTGGTGTTGGCGATACTGGCGACCGAGAAGATGAAGATGCCATCTCTGTGAAGCTCCGGCTTCGTCTAGTTCGTTGTAGGACACAACCAACATTGATCGGCTAACCCTTGGGGTTTGCTTCTCCAACTATATGGGGTATGGGATGAGTGAAAGAAGCAAAACTCAAAAACTGCCTCTCTCCCGCCATCGGAAGGACTCCAGTTTTCAACCTCGAGGATCGTAAAGGCTGTGTAGGGCTTGAATGTGAAGGCCTTAAAAAGGTCTAGGAGTCTAGGGTTTAGCCCCAAACTCGCACGAGGCAGGGGCAACTGGCAAAGCCGTATGCGGCCGGGGTTAACGGTACACAGCAGCGGATTCGGGGTTGAGGCTTTCGAGGCTGATCTAAAGTTGCTCTCTCGCGCTCGCGCTCGAGGCTCACAGCACAAAATGACGTACTTCCGGTTCAAGACTTTGTTCTCCCGACAGGCATGCGATCCCGATGTGCGTATGACCAGATGCGTCTGGGCACAAAGCCATCGCGGCTTTGTCGCATTTGGGGTCGGACGCAAGTACAACTTGCATTCCATTCCTGGGATGCGCTGGCTGAGGCTGAGATCTCACTATGTCGCTTCAGGGTGCAGGGGTTTCGAGGTTGTGCCTGCCAGCTAAACGATGTAACTAAGGTCGCTCACAACCTTAGACTTTTGACCAGTCAGCACACAGGGTAATCCTATTGATTTAGCCTCAGCCTCTGAATAATCCGCAACGCTCAGGAAGGTATTTCTTGACTGCGCATCAGCCCGACACCTACTTGTCGTCGTCCGGTCTTCAGTCAGAAGAGCTGCTATTCGGTTCGCTGCTCGATGCTGCTGCGAAAACTAACAACTGAGTTCGGACCTGATCGGTAAACGGGTCGCAACCAAGCGGCTTCAGCAACATGTACTCATACTGCCGAGACCTGTGAGTGTCTGGCTTTTCCTCGGCTGCGGACACATGCTGGCACGCGTCATGATAACGATGATGCTTCTGATCATGAAGCTGCGGCTGGTGATGAAAATGATGCTGAGAAAGAGGATGGTAGTGGTGAAGAAAAATGGTTGCGGTGATGGTCAGGACGAATGCAAGGCGAACGGCCATTTTGTAACTTCGCGCGATCTTGGAACAACTAACAGATGCAGCATATGTCCACCTGCGAGCGTGAACAAACATGTAGGTCTATACTAGTAAAGAGACATCCACCCATTCTGAGAAAGTCATAGAAAGTCCACAACTTGTGCTGTTTAATTTGTGAGCTGTCTATCAGCAGACATGTTTGTAAGGAGGGCAACTAGCTGACATGCCTGATGCAACTACCTCCAGAGAAGAAGTGTCTCCCGACCCCCCAACTTCACAGAAACTTCGAACAAACAAGGACACTCCACACTCCATGCTGATCACAAGACTGCCCCGGCTGGACCGCTTTCCTAAACCGTGCAGCGCTGACGGTAGCGGCTTAACCGTGGAGCGCTGACAGTTGCGGCTTTGCTGCAAGTGGAAATCTAGCTCGCTGAAAGAGGGCCAACAACAATTGAGCTAGTGTAGTTGACGCAACTCGGACATGATTGAATAGAAGTATAAAGGTCTGCATGAAGTTCTGGTATTTGAGACTCGAACCAAGACAGTAGGTAAGCTAAGAAATAAACCAGTTCTAGAATCCTCAATCCACCAAACCAATCACAGCCAATTACACGAACTGACATCTTTGCAGACAATTCTAGCCGCCATTGCTACTACAGCTGGTGGTCCAAACTCAAAACTCCTAACAGAAAGCGGTGTGACTCTCGCCTTGGGTCGCTGGTGCTCTTTCTTCATTCAGTCGGTCATTCGCTCGTGTGGTCGTTCGCTCTCCTTCAACCAGCCAGACAGACGATCAATAATAGATGAACCCATCAACAGCATCTTACCTGCATCACTCACTGACCAGCACCAACAGCACCAGCACCACCAAAACCGCCAGTGATTCCATTCTCTGCATTTCCAATTTGTTACAATATGTTAGAGTTGCTTGGAATATACTAGAATGATGCTAGTGATGAATACTGAGCCTGGTAAACCCTTCCACTTCCATCCAGGCTCAATCGTAACTGCGCTTGTGCTCACTGCACAACGTGAGGCAGCAGCTGGTCGCGAATGGTTCCTGGGTGTGGGGGGCATTGCTCCAAATTCGGACTTTCATCTGCGGCAACACATGGGTGGTTGTCAAAATTAGGGTCCCTTTTTGGGTACCCTAACTACTAGGTGCCGTATTATAATAGGGACCATAGTTTTGACAACGACCCACATGGAGATGGAGATACTACAGTGTTGCGACATGGTTTCGCCCTCTGCCCTAGGCTCAAACCACAAGAGACGGTCTCCATCTTCAAAAATGGCTGTATCGACACAGACTGTGAGCAGCGTAATGTAGGAACCTGATTAAGAAACTCTGGGCCTGTAACCCCAAAATCGTAGGATTCATACAAGGAACCCTAATGAGGCCCAAGGTTTATTAATCAGGTTCCTACATCTAGGATACCCAGTAACCTAAGAACAAAAAGGCCTCTCTTTTTGGTATTGGGTAACTTTATAAGGAACCTAGGACTACAACAAAGGAATAAGGGTACTACTGGGCATCCTAGACATTAATATTCACACAGTGCTGTGTAAGACCGAAGGTGTATCAGGCTAAAAGGCTCGGCCATGATGCTTTCAGGGGTTTTCGGGCAGATCGGCCTGCGGCGAGGAAAATGCCCAGATCCTGTCTTCTGGCCTTCGGAGTTAGAGGCGCCTCGGGCTACCCAGAGACTCCAATATCCCTCAATTAGGAATATTCCTTAAATTATAGTAGGATCCCAAATATGATTTAAGGAATATTGCTTAACTAAGGGATATTGGAGTCTCTGGGCAGGAAGCCCTGCCCAAGGTTGCTGACAGGGAGCTGTCACGCTTCACTGAAAGAGCGAGGCCTACAAGGGCCTCCAAAGCTATCAGTCCTCAACGAGGCACTGAAGATGTTTGACCTGAATTCAGGGTTTCAGCACTCACACTCGGACAAGCCTAGGCGAGGTTCTCAGGTCCGCAGCAGGCACATGTGGCCCCAATTCAGGGTTTAGGGGCTTTGGGGTTGAGGGGGTCGGGGTTTCGGGGTTTAGGGTCGTCAACCTCTGCTTCCTGAGCCCCACAGCCTGAAACCGTCAAGCTTACACACTTTGGAAGCCTAAACCTCCAAAGACCGAACAAGCTGATAAAACAAAGCAGAACTATGAAACTCTGGACACACGCTTGCAGGTGGGCGTCCCGACTTTCGTCGAGCAAAGCCCCGCGCAAACGCCCGCAGCGGCAAGACGCTGCCAGTGCCAGGAAGTCTGATGTTCCTTGCTGTTGTGTATAGCCATTTGTTTCTTCGATTTAAGTCGTCTTTTGGAAGAACCGTCTGTCTCCGAAAGTTGAGTTCAAAACACTGCTACCTCCGAGGCGAATGAAAGGGTTCATGGGTCAGGGTCTGGTCTGGGACTGATCAAGTCAGCAGTTTAACCAGGGTGTATAACCCGGAGGGTCCATGCACCCAAATGTTTCATACTTCGGACTTCGGCCTTAAAGTACCTACCTATAGTCTCCATTGTAGTTCCTTTTTGGGGTTACCTTTTAGGATCCTTAGTATAGAGTTGGTTAAACCAAAAAAAGGAACTTGACGTTGGGTAGCTCCTTGATCTGGGTCCGCTGAAGGGCTTACAGGGCTTTGAAAGGCAGACTCCATGCCCTCAATACAAGCTTCCTGAAGCACCGAATTCAAGCGAAAACCATGGCAAAGCAGGGCTTCCACGATACTGTTTTTTCCGCAAAGCAACTATGATTTCGTCCTATGCCATGCGTAGCTATGATTAAGCTGAGCACGACGTGACTTCATCTATGCCTTGACACATGCAAGCTTCGAGCACATACATCTCGGTCGAAAGGGAATTCTGCACTCCTCCTTGGCATAGCTCCTACGGAGTGTTGCCATTTAATTATGTCGCTTCTTCTTGATAGCAACAAGCTTGCAACCACCTCCCTGCGCACAAGTATGGTTTCCAGGCGTGGGTCACAGTGGCTCATAGGTCGGACAGCCATTGGGATCATCAACCCAACCAGCGTGTAGACGACTGTCCTCTTTCCCGCTTGATATACAACGGGACTGCTCCATCACACCAGTCACAGTATCCGACTGTTTTGACCCGATGTGAAGCAAGGCGAAAACCATGACAGTCTTGCCTAACATGAATATTTTTCCCATACTCTGTCATGTAGAACGGGCCCTCAAACCTGAAGTATTCTGCTTGCGGCTCCGCAGTTCCAGGTCTCTCGTAGGCCGTCGTCTGTGTTCCCGTACTCACTGTACGAGGCGTTCGGCGTCTTATTTCTGGTTCCTGTTGGAGGACAGGCGAGGACTCAATCGCTCTTGTCATCGCCTCCTTCACTGCCCCCTCAACTCGCTGATGCGTCGTCCTCCCTTGGAAAGCCTCATGAGAGTCTCCCCAAGTCCGCTCCAGTTCCGTTTCCACAGCTGCCTTTGCCAGGTCACGCATGCGCTGTAGCCGCTGAGCCTTCCGGCCCTTCACAGCTCTTGTCCACATGCAATGCCCAAACCACTTTACAGCTTCCCAGAATACCACAGCTCCCAGACAACACATAGCCACAACCAGGAAAAGTTCATCAACCCCTGTTCTTGGCAAAGGCTCCTTCTCTGAGGCCTCCGCCACTGGAATCGACTGCAGCGCCAGAGTAATCAGGACCAGCATCAAAATCCTTACTGCCTTTGCTTGTTGAGCCTCTGTTGGTAGGCCTTCAAATCCCCACATCTCCAGAAGTTCCCACAAGCGTGCCTTTGGATGTGCTTTTGTCCCAAGATCTGCTAGCTGCCTTTTTCCTTCAACAAACTCCACGTAGAGCATCTGTCGTTCCACTTGCTCCAACACATAGGCACTTCTCACTTTCAAGTGACGGGTTCGCCAAGAGCCTGGCCCACCCTGCAACATCGCTGTTGCAGCGGCATTATCCACTCTGAGAATTCGGTCAACACGTCTATTGCAGAACTCATCAAACAAGCAAGCTATGCCTTCTGTGAGAACAGCCGTTTGCGTAGCTTCCAGCAACTCAGATTCCATGGTCGAAAGGGTGACCATGCCTTGGCGTCCTGACTTCCAACAGATAGGGCTATTGTTGATCGTCACCACAGCTGCTCCAACAGATCGCGAACCGGATGGAGCAAAACTGGCATCGGAGTAGGCTATTACCTTTAACCCGATATCATCACCTTTATCTGTGCACGTGTTGTGTGTGCGCGCCGTGCTGTTGTGGGACTGTTTGCTGCTGCTGCTGGTAGGCTCGTCCTTGTAGTCGCCGATCACCAGTTTCATCTGCGACGTGCCGGCCAGGTAGCTGAGCACGCGTCTGGCAATCTTCACGATTCTCTTTGGATGCTTTGAGACCCATTGAGACAGGTGACTCACAACATGTTGTAGGTCTGGCCGACTTCGCATTGTAATCCAAAGTAGCTCTCCGGTCATTCTCTGTCCCAACTTTAGATCTTGCTCCGTAAAATCCTCTGCAACATCCTCATAGTCTTCAGCGATCCATTCCTTCGGGCACGGCAATCTTGTAGGGCACGCCTCCGTCATCTCATGAGCTCTGAGCAAGTCCTCGATGTAGCCCGTCTGCTTCAGCTCGAACGCACTCGTAGGTCTCTGGAAAATTTCCGTTCCCAGGTACCGCGCACCATCTGAATCATCTGCCCATTGCAAGGCAGAACAGGGCCATTCACTTCTGATCCACTCATCTAGAGCCATGACCAGCTCCGGTGGACCAAGGAAGAAGAGGTCATCTACATAAGTGACCAGGAGGGCTTGTAAGGTGCCCTTCGCCTTTTCATTGCCATATTCATCATAGGCCAACCAGATCTCCTTGTCAACCTTGGACGGCTGCAACGTAATAAAACCTCCCTTGTACGGTATCCTCGCCCCTGACAATCTGGCTGTACGGAACGATGCCCAAATCGATGGACTTTCACGAAGACCGTATAACGGCTTGACCACCAACCAGCACTCTGTTTCTTCCGCATAGTTGTTGTCAATGAGGAACCTGGGGGGCTGCACGGCATACTGCGAGAGATTTGAGGGCCACTCTGAAAGTAAAAATGCTCCTGTTATATCACTTGCTGCTCCTCGCCATCTCCGCTTTGCCGCATAGGCAAGAGCTGCTCTGAAGGTCTCAATAGAGGCGCCCCCCGCATACAGCGAGCCAAAGCCCTCCTCTTTCTCCGCGTGATTTCCGCAAAGAACAAGGCGATATTTTCTTCGTAGTCGATCACCTGGAGCATCAGGAGGTTTCATTGTATAAACTCCCTTGCTCGGTACCAAACGCAGCTTGCCTTGTCGTTGAAGTTCGAATGCTTGCTTCATCGTGATTCGACGTAGGGTTCCCGTACTGAACAGGTTGTCCAACTCCTTCCGGATGGCCTTGTCCCACTTCTTCACAGCTCGTCTCACTTGAACCTGTGGAACCGTATATACAACCTGAAGATCACCCTGCATCTCATCAACCAGGGCTTCATAATCCGGCTCCTCCTGGACTGAAGCCGCCGTCAAGCACGCATTCACCGTCACTTGGTCAAACTCCTTCATCTCCTTCTCTGCATGCTGGATCATCTCATTGATTGCAGAGGTGGCCTTGAACGCTTCCTGTTCAATGTCCTTCCTGGCTTCACGTAGATCTTCTGCAAGGGACTGCTCCTCCTCAAGTAGAATTCGAAGGGCTGCAGCTCGTTCTTGTAGATCTTCTAGAAGTTGTTGGTGGCCTTCATTGATTTGACATAGGGAACCTTCCAAACCATAGTCTTCTTGGGTTGTCTTCTTTCTCGTAAGTTTCAACCAACAATCACCTTGAGAGGTCTCCCCGTCAAACTCAAAACCCAAGGCTTCCAACCAAACGCGGTCCTTCTTTTTCAAGTTCGCGAACCTTGGCTGATAGGCAACCAAGACAATCCGATCCTTGCCTTCTTCATGAGGTTGCACTTCATGCCATCGTCTTGGATAGAAACGCACTGGTCTTTTTCCTTCAAAGGTTTTGATAGTGCCCACCTTCCAAACTCCTGGTCGTACTTCTCGCTGAACTTCTTCTTCATCTTCAGCCGCTGACCCTTGAACCCAAACTCCACCGCCCGAGAACTCACTGAGAGGATACACCGTATTCATACTATTTGGGTGGTTGTGTATATCTCGATGGCAACCCAGACTGGAGTTCTTCACAATGCCCAGCGCTCCAAAAGTCCTGACGCCAGCGATCTTCTTTGCAAACAGGGCTAGATACTTGGTCACATTCGGCATCCGCTTTGCCCCATCTCTCAGACCACAAACTCCACCGTGAGTGAACATTCCAGTTATCCATGATGTAGTACTTGACGTGGGTCTCCTCGTAGACGACTTTGAGAACGGCTGCTTAGCTTCTTCGAGGTGTGTGTAGAGCTGTAGTATGTTATGGTTCCCAAATGAGTCACTCTGCAACAACTCCTTGGCCAACTCCTCAGCACGTGCTTCTGGTTCCGATAAAGGCCTAAGCACCCTCAACGTGGACTTGGTTGTGACTCTTCTCAAAGGGACCCCCGACGGTGTAGATGGTTCTAAAACATCACGAGGACCAGGTAGAGCATGATGTGGACCGGAATCTGCTGCTGGTAGGTCGTCTAAATTCTGAAAACTAACCGGTCCGTCCCCCCAATCCATCGCCAACTCCGGGAACAACTCATCACCTTCAAAAGCCCCATAACCCGGATCTTCTTCTTCTGGTCCAGGCAGAGCATGATGAGGATCGGAATCTTCTGCTGGTAGGTGGTCTCCTCCCCCAACTCCTGGTCCCCTTTTTGCCCTTGTAGAAGCCGTCTTCGTAGTCAGTCGCCTAGAGGGTGATGGTAAGATCATCTCCACCTCATCTAGCTTCACCTCTGCATCCGCATCGATGGTGTTGGCTCTCAAATGCATGCTGTTCACATATCTTCCTTCAGGAAACCGTACAGTGTGTCCACCTCGTATATCTGGTGCCGGTCCCATGTAGACGCCCTCCTTCCAAAGGTTGTCCAAGTCATTCTTGGCGCCAGTGCCCCAAATTTTGTTCCGAACGTGGACAGGTGAGGCAAAAGGAAAAACAGCACGTCCTCGTCCCAACGCATGTTCCCTTTGGTGGTAAGCGGCATAGGCCATCGCATGTGGCCAGCAAGCTCTAGGCAAACCCGAGGAAGTCAACAAGGCCTTTGTTCTCCTCTTTGCTCGCTTCACCGCTGCCTCCGCGCGACCATTGGTCTGAGGAACTTGGCTTTCTCCACACGTTGGAAACACATCTCGGG